CCATTAATAAATGTCAATGTTTCTTAAATATGTGTGGCCAAACCACAGCATGCATGTTTAATTACCATTATTATTAAATACAAGCTACATTTCAAGTACTTACTGATAATTATACATCTTCATGTTTCACATTTGTTTTAACACATTAAAATGGCTCAGAAAAAGGTTGAGTATGAACTGATTATTATCGTTACCATTATTGCATGGTGATAAAGAGAAAAGAATTGATCAAATCCAAACTTGAGATACACAAGTTGCCCCCCTCCCCATTAAAATGGAGGTGGGTTTGCGTGGGTGTTTCGGTTTTGTTTGAACAGAGCCTTGCATTTGCTGTTGAACCCACAGGAGTATTCACTTGCACGAGAGTATTGTATTAGGTGACCACAAAATGTTCCATCTGACCCTGAAGGCCCCCAACCAGACTGCCTTTGTTTATGTGTCAACCTGAACAACACCCTGCAACAGATCTTTTAAGGGTGTCAGAAGTCAGTGTTATTCATGAGTAGGAGAAAAACTGCTTCATGACAAAAGGTAATAAAATCACTTTGTTGCTTCCTTTTCTCATACAAAGTGAATAAGGAAAATGTTTACAGTACATATACAAAATTGTGGAAACCAACATACAATGTCAAGATTAGTTTGTCTCCATATCGTGAACGCTCCTGAAAGATTTCTTGTTCTTTGCCAGCTTGTAAACAAACTGATAAACATCTCCACAGATTTACAGCAAAATGAAATCTGTTTTAATGAAAGCTTTATTGTATCAGTCATTTGACAAAAGAACAATACAGTGCACTCATTAAGCAATACTGACACAAGCATTAACTGCATATTGTGATCAAAAACAATGCAGCAGAGTCATGCCATTACTAAAAATGTTAAAATATACTGTATTCGTTAGAAAAAATAATCCTTTCATAAAAATCCTTTTGGGCTCCCTCACAACAACCAATACTGAATCAAGTTCAGTGATGCATAGTAAGTGAAGAAAAAGCCTTTTATAATTTGAATACAATGAATGGTAATGGAAGACTGATAGGCTATAATTCTTCATGCCCCTCCCCCCCCTTATGTAACCATGTTTTGGAATGGACTGTTGTTTACCAGGCCCGTCTCACTGCACCCTCTGCATTCTTACAGGAGCACTGAGGTGAAACAAATGCAATCATCTGAAACACTTGCATGCTACCAACAGCTATTTTTCACACTACCAGTCACACTGCAGATGAGTGTATTCTCATCAGAAGATAGGTGCTACACTGCTGATGTCACCAGAGCAGCCACAGGCACTTGACAAATCGTACGGTTTCTGAGAGCAGTAAGGCAAGGGAACCAGGGCCAGTCTATGCACCCCTATCCCCAGTAGAAGGAAGCCAGTTTTTTATCTGCAGATAAATATCTGCACTTAAAGGAAAAATGGTGCTCAATTTTTATTTAATGTATTTGAATTATTTAAATTTATTTAAATTATTTAATTTATCTAATTTTTATTTAATTCCACTGAGCAGTGCATAAATATTTCTCAGTAAAATTCACATCTTGTACATAATACTATTAAAGAGGACTCAGTCAGTTAACGACCTTGTTTTCAATTCAGGCTGCACTTGGCCACCCTATAGGGTGTGTCTGTCTCCAACACAGCCTCTTTTTCCTAATGCACTGGGGGACTTGTAGTTGAAAAAAGTTGAGGGAGACATTTAAATATATTACATTGCATTACAGTCATTTAGCAGATGCGCTTATCCAGAGCAACTTCCAGCACAATAGAAAATAAGTACAGGATTGCATTTACGCTGCCTTCATGAGACAAGCCTAATGTACAATTTCCAATTCCAAAAGTTGGGTGAAAAGCGGGGGATAAAAGGGAAAAAAAATGATAAAAAATATTAAACCCATGACAGAAAGACTGTTATTAACTGCTGCTGATTGCCTTTGTATTCATCTGACTGCAGAGCATCTGAAAAATGCCACCAGCCTGTTGACTGCCTGTTACCCACATATTCACAGCCTGTTAGCTGCTGCTGAGGTAAATTGCACATGGCTGGGTCACATACACTGGTTCAATGAAGGGTGCTGGTGATGGTTCCTCTTCTGTGATTGGTGGTACAGTTTCAACTAAAATAATAAAATATTTCAAAATCCAGTGTCACAAATTACATAGATTGCAACTTTAAGTAAAATACAATACATTACACATACCATGTCTGCCAGTGGTACTGGAGATTGATCATGATTACCTTGATTTGTTTCCCTTTCACCTGCATTACTTCTTTTCCTCTTGGAGAGACACATCAGTGCTCCGATGAGGAGTAAGGCTAACAGCATGGCACCCAGGACTGGCACCCATCTATCCGCTAAGAAGCAAATTACAAGTTACTCACAGCCCTGTTCAAATCCAGTTTTTCCTTGGTCAACTTTTCAATTAGGTCAACAGATCTAATACAGTGATCAGAGATAACTAATTATATATATGTGTGCTATAGATATTTGTTTATTCTCGTAAATTCTTTATATTTCTGGGTGAGACCACAGTTCCCCCTTCTGTCCTGTTCGTCCAACCTGCTTCTTTAATTTCGACCCAGATCAGCTTGTGACTCCAATCCTGATTGAAAAATGCTCATAAATGGAATTAAACTACAAATATCCACTATTCAAGAGAAATATTTCTCACCCTTGAATGAATCCCACAGCTGTTTTGGTATGATTTCTGCATACTGGCATTCCAAAACATTATTTATCAAGATTTACAATGTACCAATAGTCACAGTGTATCTCCCTTTCCCAGCAGGTATCTGACTTCACCTTGCATACTTTGGATGGAGCACACTCCCAGGTCCACAGGGTCACTGGTGGCTCTGCTCACAGGGTTTTGGGCCGTACACCTGTACATTACTGAGTCAGCATAAGGGATGTAGTTCAGCACCATCGTTTGGCCCGGATGCACACAGCTGTCATTACCACAAGGGGGCAGTGTTTCCCAGCTGTAGGTCACTTCACTGCTCTGACTGCTGGAGCAGCTCACACTGATGTTGTTCCCCAGACACTCAACTGTGATGGTGGGACTCAATACGAGCTCTGCAATGGAAATGATGAAAAAAGTATATGCAATACAATAAATGTATATTAAATATAGTATCCAAAAATATGCTATAATACATACAAAAGTAAATATGTGGCATGTGTTTCATAATACAGTTCTCTAATTAGCACTGCCATGGATTTATACATGAAAACACTGTTAAATGTGTTAACAGTCAATCATTCATCAACCTTGTGTTGGAATCTTTCTGGTGAAGATTTAAAAGTCAAAAATGAAACTGTTTGATGCACACTTAATAAAATGCTGTGTTCATTCACCCTGACAACCAAATACAATATGTACGACTACGACTAACATAGTAAGAGTAGGAGTACTGCAGCTCCAAATACCTTCAAACACAGTAAGACCCTCCATCTGCATACTTACCAAAAACCTGCAGGTGAAAGTCTGAGTCTTTTGGTGTCTTGAAGTCTCCTGAGCTGTACTGTATTTTAATGTGATAAAGGCCAGAATCTGACAGCTGTACTGTGTTCAGCCATATTGAGCCGTTATCAGCCATGCTGACTCTGTCCTTATACTGGCTGTGAAAATAAGCCTGTTTTGTTTTAGAATGCCATGTTAAAATATAAATGAATCTAAAAATCAGCTCGACTCTATAATTGTGGTTCCCCTCAGGTGAGACAGGAAACAGGACGCTCTCCCCCACTGTCACATTGGTGATGGAACCAGCAGCTGCCACTGCCAGCCCCTCACTGCCCCCACACAGTAACCCTGGAACACAGCACAGAGATGGGGGTTATACACACTGGAACACAACACAGAGATGGGGGTTATACACACTGGAACACAGCACAGAGATGGGGGTTACACACACTGGAACACAGCACAGAGATGGTTGACAGTGCAGAGATAAGGGCCTATTTATTTTTCATTGAAATAATTTCACATTGCATATCTGTAGTTATTTTATCCAGAATAAATGGAATATAGTGAAAGACGTGTGAATATTTTCAAATATAAAAATTACCTATTAAATAAAGGAGTGCATTAACAGCAGAAGCCCATCTTGATATTTTCAGATGTTCACTTTGATCGTTCATTCTGTATAACAGAGAAAACATCCTGCAATAGGAAAACAACCCACATTCACCTCTAATTATTCATCAGATTTATTGGACTGTTTAGTAACTATTTATCGTGTGACACCAATGCCGCCTTTACACAGAAAAGTTCCATTATGAGATATCAGTATAAACATGCAGACTCTGAAATCCATCACAGAAGCAATATTTGTCACTCTGAATTGAATACATAATTTATTTCCACTTACACATTTATATTTTACGTAGTTTTCATATTTTTGTAGAAAATACGTCAGTCAGATATACCCTCATGACATACAGCCCAAATTTCACATGAACATCGTTAAGAATGGCCAACATTTAAATCCAAATAAGTATTCGTATTTTAAAAAGACACGAGTACAATATCGCATGAGTTATTTTAATCCAATTACTCTAAATGTTTGAACATTACAAATACCATACTCCTTGTAAATTGCAGTTTTTAGTGAAAATACCTGCATGTGAACATTAAAGTTGAAGAAATGTTGAATATGAGTTTCAGAGAAAATTCTGACTGAAAGGATGGGGTGCTGAAGATGGGGAATAAGATCCCCATAAAGACAGTAATTATTGAACTGTTGATCTGGCATCCGGATTGGGTTTTTTTTTAATCAAACTGCGGGTAGCTCAAGTTCAGGATATCAATTTCTTCAATGTCTTCAACATTGCTACAAACTAAAATTTACATTTACTACTACAAAGGACTACACGTGACGTCACCATGACTGAATTTATATTACACAAAGTCCAGAGCGACTTGTATGAGTTTCAGTTTTTATGTTATCCATTTATTTAGCGTCATACTGAGGCAACCTTGCTTAAGGATATAACAACATTGAACCAGCAGGGAATTGATCCAGGAACCTTTCGGTTACGAGCCCTGCTCTCTACCACTCTGCTACAATTTCGAACTCTATCACCTATCATTTAAAATTAAATTCATATTTACATTTTAACATCTAGCAGATGCTCTTACCCATAGCGACCAAAGTTCCCAAGTACCCAAGTTCCAAAGTGGCGCAAGAAGTGCACCTAACAACGTTACACAAACAAGCGCCTACACATGGCCAGGACCACAAGTGCAACGTCTCAGACCCGTATTATATTTTTATCCATAGTACACTTATTTCGTAGATAATTTAAATTTTAAAAACATCAATATTATTGATTTAACCCCATTTAAAAGAACTATTACCATAACTCACCACACAAATCAGTGCGCCTGCAGCATTTTCAAGTCCTCTTAGCTTCGTCTCCCTTGATTGGTATACCAGGTGTATTCGCTTGATCCAAGCATTAAACGAATGGTTTTCGTAGCAGAACGGTGCAGGTGGTTGCAAGTGAGGAGGTTATGCTAAAACGGAACGAACACGCCTACCGCTACACGCACTTTTTCCTTATATGTAGACTTCTCAAGCACGGAGCGAGTTTGTATAATAGACGAAGAGCCGAAATCAAAAATGATCGAAAAATGCCGTGGCTTTCTACTGCGTGCTGTCATAGTGCATAACTGAGGTCTACTAAGAATCACTGGTCATCAAGAATCATCAAGGGTAAAAACAACAATGGTCGTTTCAAGGGTCGTTGTTGATTAAAGATAGCCTACCTTTGGACGCAGTTTAGAAATGAATCGGAAATGAATTACAACACGCACCTCATTCAAACTTAACTCTTACTTTCCAACTACTGAATCCGAACACGGTCCAGAGTAGGCTGTTACACACCGATTTAGTCGTTTGAATGTAGGCTACACACGTGGGTGTGAAACGTAGTTTCGTTTTTATTTTAAATGTAATTATTTATAGGTATCTCACTGTAGATTAGTTCGTAGGTAAAGGTATCGATGAAACGTTTAAATGTATGTAGCTGGAGACGTCACGTGAACCCAACGAGAAGCTTCGCAAAAGAGCATGGAACATTACAATCCACGATGCATGCATGCGAAACAGGAATGTTCAACACAACTAGAGACTGGTCAAATTGCCTTTCATGTAGCAAAACATAATAGGTTGACGGTAAACAAATTTTGTGTTAATTAACCAATGTATGGCTATCCAGGCTGCACTGACATCCTTAATTTTAAAGAAAGTCTGTAGAATAGCAGCAGCACTCGGGTAGAATAATGGCATAAGGTAAAATAGTTACACTGTTTACATTAACGGTCCAGGCCCGGCGCTATGGGGGTGCTTAGGGGTGCAGTGAACCCCCAGTTGTCTCCTTACATGCCGATGTCTACATAGTATTTAGGACTTTTTGTCCGTCTGTTGTTAGGAGGTTATGAAGCCATCTGGTGTTCATCTCGGGAAGTAGCAGCCGAAACCGTGACATAAACTCTGACTTCGTAAAATGAAGAGAATGTCTTGTTCGTAAACAATTAAGAGTTGCCATCAGCTAATACTATTCTAAGTGAGTTTCAATCTGGTTTTAGAAAGCAACATAGCATTACTACTGTGGTTGTGAAATTAATAAATGTCATCATACATGTTGTGGTGGAAAATTAGTTATAAGTGTTGCCACTTTCACCCCACCAGAGAAAAGCGGAGCTTAACGTGGTACGAGTAAGCTTGTTACTTGGTGGAGACATTTAGGCATTGTTAATATTACATGTTAGGCTGATTGTTTGCTCTGTTTAGTTGCATATAAGCACTGCTATTGCCCGGGGTTATGTTAGTTCATAAAAACACATGTACATGATTACTTTAGGTAAGAAAAATAAGGAGTTGGTATCAGTAAAGGATATCATAATATCCTACCACATTATGATATTGCAACAATAGTGTTCTCCAGCCTATTTCACTTCACTAAAAATGGTTTAGATATGAAACATGAAGATTTAATCGCAACCAACAGAAATAAATGCAAATCAAAATAAAGTAAAGGTCTTCATATAAAAACATTTCTGACTTCACTTACCAGAGGAGGGCGTAAAACCGTTTTTTAGGCTCCTCCCCAGCATATACACTCATACCACACAAACAAGGTGGGCTACTGCCTGCAACACCCCAAACCAGTCAAAATTTAAATAATAAAGTGTTTATTCAGATGTATAATACAGGTAATAAATACACAAAGATAAGAATATACAAATATATACAAATATATAATATGTAAATAACTGACGTAGCCTAATTCATTTAAGCAGCTACAAGCACAACACACCTCTCCTTATCAGATAGTCAGACAGCCCAAAAGGTAAAAGAAAAAACAATTTCAGACAAGAACAAGTAAAAGTGTTTATTAATCAACAGGTCATGTCCACAACACAATATTGTTGATACCGTACCATTTCATAGCTATGTAGAATTTTTTAATCATAATGCAATGTTTATTAGTATTAGCTTAATGACTATATATACAGTACCTTTGTGCTATATTCTTTATTTTAAGAAGCAACACTGGGCTATACAACAATTCTCAGGTTTACAGACAGGGTATACAAAATTTGGCAGATCATCATGCAAACAGAATAGTAGTCCTAAGTTACATGTAAGAAAACAGAATATGACAGATAAACAAGTAAATAAAGAGATGAAATAAACAAGTTTACACAAAGCCTCTCATGAAGTCAATGATACTTCTCCAGGCATCAATAGTTTTATCTCTTGCTCTCTGAAGCTTAGCACATGACGTCTCATGAGTAGCTATATGAAGCATGTTAGCAATCAAAGTACTAAACAACGGAAGTGTAGGTGTAAACCATGCCAGCAAGTCATCGTTCAGGAGGAATAGAGAGGGAGAGGCTATAATGTCACGGCCCAAAGCAGCGGAGAGCAATGAGGCTACGCTAGACCAGAACACCTCTGTGATAGGGCACTCCCAGAACATGCAGTCAGCTCTAGAATTATTGGCACCCTTCATGAAAATGAGCTAAAATTAATATATAAAAAGAACCACACAAGCAATGAGTGATTTTTTGGGCTTAAACAAATGGGCAAGCCTCATGCTTTTATTTTCAAACAGATTTTTGGAACAAAATTAAGTTTTCCTTTAGTAACACAAATTTTCATGAAAATGTAGATTAAAAAAAAAACTACAACACCCTGACAAAGGTTGAACTTTCAGCCTAAATTGTAAAAGATATGTTTGGCGCAAAGCCAATAAAGCTCATCATCCAAGAAACACCATGACGACTTTGAAGCATGGTAGTGGTAGCATCATGCTTTCGGGCTGCTTCTCTTCAGCTAGGACAGGGCCTCTTGTCAAAATAGATGGGATAATAAATAGCTCCAAATATCAAGATAAAACCTGCTGGCCTCTGTCAGAAAGCTAAAGATGAAGAGGAATTTCACATTCCAACATGACAATGACCCAAAGCACACCAGGCATGGCTTCAGAAAAGAAAAAATCAAAGTCTCGGAATGGCCCAGTCAGAGCCCAGACCTCAATCCCATCGAAAACCTGTGGAATGACCTAAAGAGAGCTGTACACAGGAGATCCCCTCGCAATTTGAAGGAACTTGAACTTTTTTGCAAAGAAGAGTGGGATAAAATTCCAAAGTCTAGATGTGCAAAGTTAATAGAGACTTATTCACAAAGACTTGCTGCTGTAATAAATGCAAAAGGTGCTTCCACAAAGTATTAGTTGGGCGGGGTATGCAGACTTATGCAATCAGGGTGTTGTAGTTTTTTTAAATTTATTTTTACTAATAATTAACTCTTCTTTCTTTCTCTGGATTTTTGTTTGTTGGAAGGTCACATTAAAGATGGAAAGAGTCTGACATTTATGTTGTTGTTATTTCTGTCTTTACATTTCAAAAATCTGCAATTTCATAAGGGTGTGTAGACTTTTTATATCCACTATACAAGTATATGTTCTGAACTTTGAAAAAGACGATCATGGAATCATGTGACATTAGCAAAATGGGGAAGTAATTTCTTGCATAGCTCACTTCACTGAATACAGTTTGAAAGCAAGACCTGAGTTTATGTAATGGTAAATTCTGTCACATTGTGTGCAAAGAATCTGGGAGATAGGGAGACTTTCACACACAGAGATACACATTCATTCATTTGACCCTATAAAATACTTCTTATGAAGAAGCTGAGTTTATTTGGAGCAACACTTCATAGTTTACAGTATATGTACCCTGCAGATACGGTATGCTGTGGCAGGGATTAAATCCGTGTCGCGTGGTCAGCTTGCACTCACAGTAAATGCATTAACTACTGAGTTCTATGCATGCAAATGGGTACTAACTGAAATGTAAAGTCTATCCATATAAAAACATTCCTCTGATGTCCCTCACCTGGCTGCCAGATGAGGATATAAGACATATTTTAAGTGTCAACATGTTATCCTTATTTATCCATAAGATTTTGTGCTACCTTGACCAGTATTATTCACAATGACTAGCTATAACATATATATATACAACATATATATATATACAATATATAACATTCTTGTTTCAACATTTGAACACATTAAAATCATACTAACAGCAGATCAATATAGATTGATTATTACCACAACCATTATTACAAGGTAATACAACAGAAAGATTTGTTGTAAGAATTGATTGCCTGCACGAAAAAAGACATCTTGCCACAATATGCAAATATGCATGGAGACTAAAAAGGAGTCACAAGTCAGTGTTATTTCTGAGTAAAACAAACATTCTCTGTAACACACAGTAAGAAACTCACTTTATTTTATCTTAAACAGTATGTAAAAACAATTTGTACTATACTGTACACAAAATACTTTACACCTGAAAAAAATAGTTCTTGTTCTTTGAGAACTTATCTTGAGAAATTCAGAAACTCTAAAACTCCTTAGATTTAGTCAAAATAGGCAAAACAAAATCTGTTAACACCTAATGTAAGTTTTATTACATCAGTCAATTAACAAAAGAACAATTAATTTAAAATACAGTGCATTATATCTGAGAAACACTGACATAAGAATC